CAAGTGTCGAAGCGGGTTCCCGAGGATCAAGCCACCAGGATCATCAACGAAGGTGTGGACGCTTTAAAATTGTGTAGGCCTCCATGCCGCAGTTTGCCTCTCAAACGCGTGGAAACTTACTTGACACAGCATGCTCTGAGTGTACTTCCAGTCGATAAAGAAGGAGGGTTTGCGGTTTTCTCGCATGATGAATTTAAAGAAAAGGCTAAAAGTGCTATTACGGCAGTGTTCAGCGAAAAGAAAAGTATTTCGATTGAAAAAGTGAGGGGAAAAGCAATAGAACTTTGTAAGAGGATGAATCTAGAAGGTGTGCTTAGCGGTATCAGAAAAAGTAAAAATGACAGTCTGGATGTGTTCTTTAGTGCTAAAACGCATAAGGAAGGAGTACCGTTCAGAGTGATAGTGTCGGAGAAGGACACGTGGCAAAAAGCTGTAGCTGTGTATCTGCAAAGAACATTAAACTTGCTTGACATAAATGACCCCTTCCTGACAAAAAATTCGGAACAGGTGATAAGTTTCGTCAGGGAACGAAAAAACATAGGGTTAAAAGCGTTTTCGGCTGACATAAAAGATCTGTACTATTCTCTGCCACAATCAGCAGTATTAACAAGTGTTGGCGAATGCATCGATGAGTACGGTGCCGTTAGATTTAGCTCACAAGCAGGTACGTCCGTCGACAATTTCTTAGAATTACTTAGGTTTTACTTGTCGTCAACGTTTATTGAAAACAATGGTACCCTGTATCTGCAAAAACAAGGAGTATGCATTGGCTCGTGCTTAGCACCAGTTTTAAGTAATTTGTTTTTGGCTGAAATGGACAGGAGGCTATCAGGACGCCTAAATGAATACAATGTTGTGCACGTATTTAGGTACGTCGATGACTTTTTAGTGTTTATCAATGACAGAACTGCAGATTTTGCTACTCAATGTAATAGCGTGTGTAGCGTTTTTCGTGAGGGGCTTAACCCACTTGAAGTGACTTTTGAAATGCCATGTGACGGAAGGCTCAGATTTCTTGACATTAACTTTCAATTCTCAGATGAAAAGACATGCTGGTGTTACGAGCCCAGAGCAAGTAAGCCTTTACTACAGTTTCACTCAGCGCATACTAAACTGGTAAAACGAGGCATTGCGAAGATGTGCTTGAGTGAGGCACTAAAGAAGTCCTGCCGGTGCCTCATGAATGAGAGCTTCAGACAACAGGTCTCGAGGCTAAGCAATGCCGGGTACCCCAAGAGCCTCGTCGTGTCCGTTGCTGAAGGATTGCACAGAAAAGTGCTGGAGAAAAGATGTGAAGGGATGGATAGGGTGAGCTCAAGAAAGGAAAGTTTTGCCGTAATTCCATACATGCATAAGGTTTCTCACAGGATAAAAAAGATTGCGGAAAAATGTGGCACTAACGTAGTTTTCTCGGCACCCAATAAGTTGGTGAGTCTTTGCAGAAGCACAAGACCAGACAAGGGAAAATCAAATGTATGCCAAAAGAAACATAGAAACCTATTTGTGGAGTGCATCATGTGTGTTGTATACCTCATTCCACTTACTTGTGGAAAGTGTTATATCGGTCAGACCAGTAGATGCATAAACGATCGCTTGCGCGAGCACAATAACAAAGTAAATAGTGTTGTTCCTGATGGTTTTCTTTCCCTTCATTGCCAGAGATGTAAGTGCACACCGAAATTCAAGGAAACGGTTATAATCAATAGAAGTAGGCACGAGATGACGCGGTTGGTATTGGAGGCCGGCAGAATTGCAGAGCTAGGTGACACGTGTGTGAGCAGCCCATCAGTGGTGTTGACAGATAAGGAACTTGATTACATGTATTCGCGATAGGGTTTGTGGTAACATGGGATAAAAGGAAGAAAGAAAAAGTAAAAAAAGATTGAAAAATATAAAATTGTAAAGTATTGGAACACGCGCGTTGGTTATATTTGATGGTTTTTAGAGCTACGCACGTGCGACGTTGGCGTGGTGGATCGCATACACCACGGAGATCTGCGTGTAATAAACTGTTGTTGAAAGTTAGCGCTGTGTTGTGTCTATGTGCCTTCTCTTGTCCGTGTTCGTTGTCTGCGCTACCATCCATCATCATAGGTTGTATGGCTATTGATTTCGAGGTCTCTAACAGACTTTAACAAAAAGGCTAAGGATAGAGTAGATGTCCGTTGTGCGAATGACTTGCGTAACTAGACAACTGATTGTAATGAATTGCTAAGAAAGCTGTCTATCTGGTCTCAGCTAAATCAACTCAAGATCAACGCGAAGAAAACTAAGGTAATTATTTTTCGCTCCAAGAATAAATATCTACAGTTAAATGTTATGATTTCTTTTGAAGGTTAAAAACTGAAATTCTTGACAGCCACAAAATTCTTCGCGTGCACTTCGCGTGCACTTCGCGTGGGACAGGCATGTAGATTACCTAAGTGAAAATCTCTCCAGTGTGAGAGGTGTCCTATTACGATACCGTCGTTTGCTGCCTAGAAAAAACAAATTACACGCCTACAATGCTCTATTTCATAGCTAATTAAATTATTGCACTTTAGTATGGAGCACCACTAATATAGCTATCATACGTAGAGTTTCGATGCTACACAAGAAGACAATTTGCTATATTGGCTACACATACTTTTACTCCAGCACTAGAGAAGGGTTTTCTAAATACAATGGTATTAGAATCTACAACCTTTATACTTTTCGTTTGTTACATACTGCGCAATATGCCTCTGAATCTCTCAAGAACTACATGAAACATTTGGCCTGTTTAGAACGTCGTGCAAGTATTGTGAACACTAGGAACCCTGAAACATGGTCGGTTTTATATTTCAGGACGCGTTGTAAATTCTAGTCGTTGGTATATATTCCGCCATCTACCTAAAATAATTATGAAAAATTAGCGTGCCTAATAAAAACTTGTGTTTACATTTTGTTCACATATTATGTCACATACTGTGACATTCTGCGCATATGAAAAGTGCGTCAATGATACCACATTTTAGCGTAGTTTTTATGACTACAAGAATTTTTGGCGGCGGTATAAATTTTTTTCCGATAATGATAAGGTGTACATTTTTGTATTGTCGACATCTCTGTTTATTGCTTCTTGCTTTATTATATTTTATTGTACGTAAAATTTTTCACCTTTTTATGCGCGTGTATTTATTTTACTTCACTTTATTTCTTTTGCAGTTGTCATGCTGGAATTATATTAACCCTATTTATCTGTAATGATGATATTCCATTTAAAATTGTTTTACTATTTGGTTTGCTCGCCAATGCACAGATCTGCTTGTAGTTACTGCCTTGTATAGTCTTGTCGTTGGGTCTCGTCAAGCTAATTATGTGGCGTTTAACCCAGTTGTAGCGTTTAACTGAGTATTAACCCAGCCAGCATGTATAAACTAGAAAAATAAAAATTGAATTGAATTTAAATAAATCTCGCTTATATTTAATGTGTGAATAACAACGGTGGAAGTACTTGTCTTTGTGGTATCCCTGATGACAGAGAAACAGCTTTAGATGTCGTGTGTCCAAAAATACAACTGTTATCGATTGAGCTATAAGTGCTTATTTCTACATGTAAATGAACTGATTTTAAACATGACTTGCAGTTTTACAGTTGTTTTTTATTACAAACAGTGCCATATGCTTTGACAAAATTCAATAGATTCATATCTGTTTTATTTTGGATAAAGAGGCCATGTGCAACTTCATGCACAAATTTAGTCATTTGTGGTATGGTTGCTATACCAACCCAAAAGTCATGCTGAATTGGGAGAAAACGCATAGTCATTCGAGCGAAACTATGGTGTGTTTTATAATATATGTTTTAAAAGTTTGCACTAGGTACTTATAAGAAATATACACTACGTTTGGTGACCTGCGGCGCCTACACACTTGCTGTGGCCCGTGGTATACTGGTACGTGGCATACGCGTTTAGAAGAATGGATATGACATTGCACGCTAAGAAATTTTCAGTTCTTTATGTGATGACCAAACTGTCTCAATTGCCATACCTTCTCACCTTTTTATACTAATTTTGGCTGACTCAAAGGTAAGGAGGTTATCATGAGGGTACTCAGACCTAGGTGTCTGTATAATTGGTTGAGATATAGAGTTTAATGTTTTAAAACACTGTATGAATATGAGAGATGCTGTAGCGGAGAAGCTCCCGAAATATCGACCTCCTGAGGTTCTTCAACGTGCATCTAAATTTGAGCATACATGCCTACAGCATTTTAGCTTTGTTTGAAAATGCAGCCACCAGAGCCGGGGCTTGAACACGCGACCTGCGGGAGAGCAGCTGAGCACCTAAGCCACTAGACCATGGCAGCGGGGCAAGTGACTAGACAGACATTCAGACAGACAGACAGACAGACAGACAGACAGACAGACAGACAGACAGACAGACAGACAGACAGACAAACTGATAGATAGATAGATAGATAGATAGACAGATAGATAGATACATAGATAGATAGATAGATAGATAGATAGATAGATAGATAGATAGATAGATAGATAGATAGATAGATAGATAGATAGATAGATAGACAGGCAGACACACAGATAGACAGGGAGAGGAACAGATGGATAGATAGATAGATCAATAGATAGACAAACAGACAGGGAGAATAACAGTTAGATAGATAGATAGCTAGATAGATAGATAGACAGACAAGGAGACGAACAGATAGATATATAGATCAATAGATAGATAGATAGATAGATAGATAGATAGATAGATAGATAGATGAATAGAGATAGATAGATAGATAGATAGATAGATAGATAAATAGATAGATAGATAGATAGATAGATAGAATGACAGACAGACCAACATGGAGATGAACAGATAGATAAATAAATCAATCGATAGGCAGATAGATAGTTAGATAGATGAATAGATACATAGATTGATAGACAAAATGACAGACAGACAAGTAGAAGAACAGATAGATAAATCGATCTAATGACATATTTCAAACATATTTTTTTGCAGATGAGGGGTTCTGAACTAGAGAAGAACTTGTATCATGATGAAGAACGAATGGCATCTGTGCATTTGTCTGAAGAGGATGGCATAACTATTGTACGTATATCACATGTGTTTGTATTGTAACATGAAATAATAAACTCTTCTTTATTCACTACGTGCAGCGCCAGTAAGACTGCACGTGTTATTTCACAATATCACTACCGATGTTCAACTTCTGCAAAGTTCGCCAATGATCTTCAGTGCACTGCAGCTTTTTCTAATATTGAGAACGCCAAACTGCGCTGAAAATTTCTTTCTTTCATTCATTAGACAAATAATTCCTAACTTAAAGTCAAGCTCGCAAAAAGTTGTGGTTCTGAATATTGAAATGTGCTGTACAAGGTGCTGCAGAATTATAGTATTTATTTTTAGTGAAAAAAAAACCTAAACATAAAGGCGGACATGCTTATTTTTCTAGACATGTAGCTATATTATCGTTATATCTTACACTTCAGAAGTTGTCAAACATACTTCACTGCTTTTTTCATGGAACTGTATCCTCCATCACATTATTCATGGGTATTCAAAGCTCATGCCATCAGTATAACAGGAGAGTCTTTAACTTCAGATCAGCAGCATACTCACACGCAATCTTGGCACTTTTAAATTGTACTGATTTCTATGTTGCTTTGGAGCTAATATAGCGAAAAGTCAGAGATTGCAGCATGCCCAAGTTGTCATTTACGGCTTTTCAGCCTGCAGCATCGATTACATCTACAACACATGTTCGAAGCTCTGCTCTAGATAAGGGGGGTGTATATGAGTAAAGCTATGTTCTCTCTTAGCGCAACTTAAATTGAGCAAACACAAACTTCACAGATGTGGACATACACAAGCACTCAGTGTGGTAAGAGGTCTTCTAGACTCAACAAAGTTGGGATAGTGAGCGGCCAACATTAATTTTTCCAGCGCAACTGAAATTGACCAAACACAAACTTCACAGATGTGGACATACACAAGCACTCAGTGTGGTAAGAGTTCCTCTAGATTCAACAAAGGTGGGATAGTGAGCGGCCAACATCAATTTTTCCATGCGTGCCACTTCCAAATCATACGATGACACAGCAATTTTCAGGCGCCGTGCAGTGTTGCTCAGGTGTCACTTCGCCCACGCAGTTGGCGGTTCAGCTGCAGCTCATGCATGATAACTGTAACCTTGCACAATGAAGGAACTTCAGGCGACTGAACCGCTTACTACAGCTAATCTAGGGCCCAGTAATTTAAAAAAGTATATATCTCTGAATAATTTGGTGTGGTGACTCCTGCGCCTGGTGTGGTGACTCCTGCACTGACTTTTACCCGCCATACCCGACTCAATAAACGTAGGCTGTACTTGGAGAACTCATTTGTTTTTGTTTCTTTCTTTTATTTAAATGCAGCCAAATCCAAAGAGGAAAAAGGCGCACTGTGGTAGGAGGCTTCTAATTTTCTTGGGAACTTGGCAGAAACATTTCGCATTCTATTGCCGTGAACGTATAAACACTAAGTATGCTTTGATACTCTCAAGTTTAGGCTAATTATTCTGCTGTTTTATTTTTCAATGCACTGGTGTAAGTGGCTTTGCGTGTCAATACAGAATAACAGCACATAATTCGTGATACCTAACCTGCTTTGAAATGAAACCTCACTCTCGGAAAGCCACCGACGTAGTCAGTGGGTGGTCATGAACCGTAAATTATATTTTGCCATGTTGTGCTAATCTTTCCGATCGCTAAGTATACTAAGATGTAACCGGAATACCATGAAATTAGCGGATATGTTAAGTCACCCTGTCATACTTCCTTTACAAATGTGAGCGTGTCGTAGCTTCGCAATCACCATTTATGGTGGGATATGCATTCCCCATGCCGTCGGATCTCTTGTGTAGCTATCTGTCCCACACCAAGCTACGGTACTCTCCCCGAAGCTTGTCCCCTGGTACGAGGGACCTTAGACAGTTTCGGAGAAAACCTCTTTGATTAAGTTTTTTATTGAGCCAGTTTAGCTATCGAATGACCTGCGCCGGCGTGTACCTGACGTCTATGTTTCTCACACCCAGCCGTACCATGTACCTCTGCCTAAAACTCGAAGGTCACCGGGATGGCTACTTTTTCAACAGAAGCGATCATGAAGAAGACTCGCCTCCATCCAATAGCATCGGTAACGTCCAACTCGCTCGGCTGGTGCTCCAGTTCGCTGCCGCGCCTGTGTGCGCTGCGGAGCATTTATATTGTAACGCGGACTCAAAGAGCGAGAAAGAAGAGGAGGTGGGACGCTCTCGAGCGATGGTGATTCAGCAGGGACGGTTGAGCGCTGGCATTTTCAGTGTAAATAAACCCATCACATTCGTGACAGCTTTGGTGGAGTGGTGCTGGGTAATTCGCCGTCCTGAATCCCGTAGCGGAAGTTCTTCGAAGAAGCAGATGCTTAGCTGGCCTACCCCCGGACAACACCAGCATGAACGATGACACAACAATCCCGTTGACGTTCTTTGCTGCTGCATCCACCGGTGCATTCGCCATGACACAAGGTGGCCATCGGCTTCGACAACAAGACTGTTGGGGCCTAACCACGGATAATCTCAGGTAAAACTGAGGAAGACGTGAATGCTTGGCTAAAACACAACGACAGAGTGAGCCGCTACTGCGAATGGGGCGCGCCGGCGAAGCTCGTGAACGTAGTATTCTTCCTTGCCGGGACCACTTTGCTTTGGTTTGGGAACCATCGGGATATATCACCACTTAGGATATATTTGTTGAGGAACTGAAGTCCTGCTTTGGACACACGAGTTCTGTGAAAAAGAAAGCTGAGCAAACGCTGTCACGTAGGGCTCAGTTGCATGGCGAAACGTGCACAACCTACATTGAAGAGGTATTGTAGCTTTGCGGGATTGTCAACGCAAATATGTCTGACGAAGAGAAAGTCGCTCATTTCTTAAAAGGCATCGCCGAGGACGTGTACACTTTTATCATAACGAAAGAAAACTTGGACACTTCTATTTACAGACAGCAGTGTCGCGCATTCGAGGCGTTGAAGACCCGGAGAATGTACCCAAGTTCTGGTGCTTGGACAATGTTCACACTGTTGAAAGTATAGATGTCACCGCCTGAGAAGACATTCCCTTCCTTGTACGTCGGGTAGTTCGAGAAGAGCTCGTACTGTTTCAACAGGTGACGCTCACCACCAATGCTCGTTCGCCGCGTGCCCCGAACAACTTCTTTACTGGATGCGAAAGCGCCACGTCAAAAACCGACAGCGCACAGAAAAGGAAGATTTCACCCCACGGCTTCTGTTTTCCCCTACGGGTCATGGTCACCACCGGATGTCATCATCTCGACGTGCCGCTGCAGACCTCCGAACTTCGTCAACCAGGCCTCTACAAGAAGACAGATATGCGTCATCATGAAATGTTCCTGCAGAGCACGCACGACCTGTCTTCGTGTACATCTGCACCTCTGCTCCTGCTAATGTTAGCCGACAAGTCCCTTTTTGCTACACATGCTGTCTCCCAGAGCATATTTCACGCTTCTGTTCCAGTCAGCCGCCTGCGCCGCCACGTTTTTTGACGTACCCGCCTCGTATGCACGAAACCTGGACCACTCACCCGGCCGACCACCGTCCCCGACAGCAATGACCTAACGAATTTTGCAGCGAGTCCCCCGCCTCCGTGCGAAGCCTGACGCCGTCTCCGAAACGTTCCCGCCAGTCGCCGTCTACGCGTCGTCGGTCGCCTGCCCCGCATCAGCTGGGAAACTAGCTGGTGCGGCCGATGGAGGTGCGCTCGCGGGACTGTCAGTTTTGCATATTCCTCCTCCTGCTTTGATGTTGATGAACAAAGTGTGTGTGTGTATAGACGGTGTAGATACTCTTGCTCTTGTAGACACCGGTGCAGCTATTTTAGTTATGAGTCTCCGTTTCAAGCATCGTTTCTTCGGTCACAAAGTAATGTTTGCATGAGATCGTAAAGATACTTTTCGTAGAGTTGGAGGCGAAGCGTTATGCCTTCTTGGTATTTGCCCAGGTGTATCCACGATTGGTGGACAAAATTTCCGAGTTGAATTCACGGTACTGGCTCGCGCAACTCATGATGTAATTTTAGAGATAGGCCTGCATGATGAATGCGGCGCTACGCTTGACTGTGAAGCTGCAGAGATTCTTCTACAAAGTACGTTGTCCGCTGCCATAGTTGACGTTTTTTGGACTCCCCATCGATGCGCTTCCATTGTCTGAAGATGTGACGATCCCTGGTCGGACAGCAATGATTGTTCTCGTATGCTCTTTTCGCGTTCATTCATAACCCTGCACTGGACTTGTCGAGCCCGATCATACAAATGCCATTAAGAAGGATGTGCTGGTCCAACTGTCTGTCCTTACAGCCATCGACGGGAATGTTAATATTAGCGGAAATTACAATTTCACATTGCTATGTAATTTTTTCTACCCATTTATTTGAGAGACACTGCAGGTCCAGGTAGGAGTTCAAACAGTAGGGGCGTGCGAAGTACAAATCTTATATCAGAAGGGAAACAACATTGTAAGTATGCAAGTTATCCGCAAACATTTCATGTTTTAAATTGAGACTCAGAGGTTCAGCTGGTATTTTTGTGGCACATTTCAGTGAGCTGTCATTACCATTAGGGCCCTTGTCTTTGGACCAATCCGTTTTCGTCTTTTACCTGTAATGAACCTACCTCCTCCTCCTGTTTCTTTTTTTTCTGATGGGAACTTTTTTTTATTTCATTTAGGAGGGTGTTCTTGGAGATACATTGCGGATAAAGCCAGAGGAAGGAAGGGAGCGATCTGCGGATGGCCAGGTTGCTCACACTCTGTTCGATGTCGAGTACGCGGATGGTGAAGGCCTCAACCCAAATGATTATGGTAACTATATTCACGTGTCTTTGTTGGCATGAAAAAAAACATGCGTCATCTTTCGATATTATGAATCTGCATAATACAAAAGCGAACTATGTTTTCACCAGCACATCGTTGATTGTAGGTTTATTTACGAGAGCTTCCACAATGTATTTCAGTTCTTTCCGCCGCCTGACGTGAACGAAACCGCTCTGACGGCTAGCCTGCACATTCACGTCACCACGGCTAACGCAAACGATCATGATTTATCTCGTGTGGATGCTGAAGTAGTTACACACATGGGCACAGCCTACGCTTGAGCCCACGCCATGATATCATGAAGAAGCACGTGATCATTATTGCAGGTACCTATAACAATGGTAGGTTGCACCAAATGTACTTATTGAAAACTTCATCTTTTCGCGAGAGGATTTTTGTGTTGTGCGCTTGCAGAAACGCCGGAACGTATGCCTGTGCCACATCCCGGCCTATGATCATGCTTAACAAAACAGCGCTCAAATACGTGACAAGGACAGTTTATAGCTTGACCCAGGAACGAGGGTAGGCGTACGCTTGCTGGCGTCTCCCCCGATGCACCTTAGCCTAAAACCGCCAAAGCGCTGGCTGTGGGGCATCCATTAGTGTCATGATGCAGCTTCATTTCACTCGAGGTTGTTGGATACCTGGCTTGCTGGCAAGGATCAGAAAACCAGCTGGTTTTGCTCGACGATGCCCAGCGAGTTGAATAGCCCAGCGGAAACCTGGATGTAGGACCCCAACTTCTTGCTCAGAAACATTTTAGCGAATAAGAAGTTAATTCTCTCATTTCATTGATCCTACACGACAGCTTTCCTGCCCCCTCCCCAAAACCAAGGCATCTTTGAATGGGGTAATTGTAAGAGAAAAAGGGTGCAATTTCAAATAACCATTGAGCGCAATGGTATCGAGGACAGCCTTCTATCCTCGCTGCTGGAGGAGTCACGAAGTCATCATCTTCATCATCGTAATAATAATAATAATAATAATAATAATAATAATAATAATAATAATAATAATAATAATAATAATAATAATAATAATAATAATAATAATAATAATCAGCCTGACTATGCAATCAAAACCACAACAACATTTATGAGAAAAGCTTCTTAGAAACGAGAACTGTTGGCGTCCGTTACGCTCGGCCAAATCTAAACCCACACCGAACACCTGCACAACAAAAAACAAAATATTTGTGTGAAAACCGACTTTATGTGTAATCTACGATGTACCTTAGAGCACAAAATATATTCACCTGCGCTGTTCGTCTGTCCATCAGTGCATCTGTCCATCCATGCATTCCTGGGTCCATATACCTGCCAGTTCATCCGTCTATGCATCGGTCCGTCTGTCGATGTGTCCGTCCTTAAAAGTACCCTAAAGGCAACTATTAGGTCGACGTTAATTGTTGAAATATCGGTTCAGACACCTCGTAGAGTTACTTTTATGCCAAGGAAGGACCTATTGTGATATGAAATCATGCTTTGGTGGTCCGTATTGAGTTAACGCACTTCAAAATACCCGCCTCAAGAAGTGAACCAACCGGACCGAATCACGTCACTCTTGCCATGCACAACGTCACCCGGCTTTAATGAGCTTGTAGCAGAAGACCGATTAGCAGCGGGAGCCACGGCAGGCAACAATGGCCATTCATCAGTTTCTCGCCATTCGCTCCAAGATTGAAGATATATTTTGAGTCAACTTCGCCCCGCTAAATAGCCCCACCTGTCTATTTTAACGACGCAGAGATAGAATTTTCGAACCACTCGTGCCTTTCTTCATGGTAACGTCCGGCAGTTTTTTTTTTCTTTGAATGAAACAGAAACAAAAAGTGGCATTTTATTGCGTGTCTTGATGCACGGCAGGTTCTTTATTTCGTGAAGGTAGATTGATTACTTCTAATTAATTGTAGATAGGTAGTTAGTCTGATGTCATCGAGATCATTTTGACAATGTCCTACTTTGGCACGTGTGTTCTTGTCCATTTTTTTCAATTTCTCCGTAAGAATGGAACTGCATAAAATCACCGTTTTAGATGTCGTCGTAGATTGACCTTTCACACTTACGTAAATTTTTGTTTGACTTTAGTGCTCTTTTCACACTAGCCGGTGACTACAACGTACTCGTTATCGACCTTGCAACACAGCTTCGCCCACTTGTCATCATTCACTTTGTGGAGATGCGTAAATTTTTTTCGTGGTTGCTTTGTCATATGTATTTTATTGCTGTTTTTCCTGTCACTGAAGTCTTTGTGAGCTGAAGCATTACCACTTTAGTGTCAGAACAATGCGGATAATATTAACTCGATAAGTGGTGATATACTTATTACTAACAGATGCGTTGCTGGAACACCGAGTAAAAGACCAGAAAATGCTCTATGTGGTTATCACAACTTTTGCTAGATGCCATATTTGAGCTTTTAATGCACACATGCCTATTAGTAGCGATCCTATTTTAACCAGACAGTTCCAAAGTGTTTGCTTCAAGGTAGATGTCGGATGTCGCATAACTTGTTGCACAACAGTATAAATAGTGGCACAGCTGTTTTTACTTGATATCTAAGTGCAATTAATAACGAAAATATATTACTGAAGAATTGTTTTACCACAGTTTGATATTTTGCCTGGGGATCCGTTATTTTTGTGAATCATTACCATGGTACACTACAGCCGTGATACCACTTTTTAGCCAAATATATTTTTTGTGCTGTTTACGAGAATGACACCTGCATGCTTTTTCATGCGCTTATTGCAAAATGGGGTTTCACTAACGTTGTAGACCGTAGACATATATATGTCTTACCGTCCTGCATTCAGAACATAAAAACAAGGTTGGGCTGCTTTGTACGCTTTGCCAGACGAAAGTGGCAAAGTGGCAATGTATACCATAGCGAAAGCCTTCGTATAGTCTTGGCCACCTGAGGTATTTATAGTGACTGACAGCGTTAGGTACATTGTTTTATACTACTTCGCTGTAATTAAAACGTAACTACAGCGTCCGGTATCGTATTCCTAGCTTTCGGGTGAGCCGTTGAGCACCACTGATAGAACCGCTATGTCACTGCGCCCGTTCACATGTTGACAAATCACCGATCGGTTAATATTTTGACTATTATGATTTATTAGTGGCTTTCTTCCTCGTAATCCCCAAGTTCAATGATGACCTTTACGTGTCGTGTAAAAGTGGTAGCCTACTTTATTATGACTAAACTTGACGTATTTCAAGATGCCTCTCAACTTTCGTAAGTAGGACAAAAAACTAGCATCACAGTAAGATTAGCCCCCACAACATTACGTGCTCTCGTGTTCTGGTGACGTTGAGGGCACGCCTATTTATTCTAGACCTTTTGTGGTCGTACAGTGTAGTATGCTGAGGTTTGACACAGCTGGCAAGTTCTGCTGCTGAAATTCAAGCGGCATACTCGCCTTCGAAGCACCCAAAGTGGGATCAGTTATTTGCTTCATTACAAAAGAACGTACCTAAGCAGTTTAGGCAGTGACTCCAAACATTAAAAAGAGGCCGTATCGTGGGTGAAATCAACAATGAATTCATTCAACACAGGTCGTGGTCCTCAAGGTCCTACCCCACTTCTCAAAATTTTTTTCGCACCTGCGGATCCTTGTGATACACCACACTCACCTTATTTCAATACGCAAGCACACAAAAACTGAAAGAAACGTGCACCGTCGACGCTCCGCGCGTTTCGTCCCCACGCAGACGTCCGTGCCGACGCCTCTCACCGATTTCGTCTTGAAACTCTGATGATTATCACACCCTGTGGGTGCTTAAAGTTGTAGGGGTGTCGTCCTATGTACGGCTGACGCAAAAGCCCAGCTAATGTTCCAGCCGCACACAGTCGACCGTGCACTAATAAAGTCCCCTTTCCGTAGCTTAAGTCATCGCAGCTACACGGGTTCGGGCGAATAAGGCTACATGCTGGGTGAGCAAAACGACACTTTATTGCTACGGTAGCAATAACGCGTAAATGTCGCGTATAGGGACTTCAGGTAGCAAAGGATAGACGCTTACTTACGCTTACAGTCATGTCTTCGCAACTAGGCTGTCACGCTGCCGCAAAAGAAGAAAGGGTGATTGGGCGCACGTGCTCCCCCTCACTTTCCCCAACCAAAAAAGGGGGCCCCCGAACGACAGAGGCTGATATATGAAAATATTTTGGTATTCATCATAGAAGAATGCTAGGATGATGGGTCACAATTTCTGTTCTCTGGTGGGTTACCCTCTGTCGTAGGTGCCGCCGGTGCCCCCCTCGTCGCCACTGCATCTAAAATAGCCACCACCACTGCCATGCTCACTTGCACCATGGCCAGTGACTGCCACTGCTGTCACTTCTGCTGCCAATACTGCAACTGCTGCCAGCCTTGCCGCCGTTACTGCCACCGTGGGTCCGGCGCTGGTAGCACTCTGGTCCGGACCGCGCCCCATTTACCCCCACCACTCAGGTCGTTGGTGGCGAGTGAGAGTAGCCAGTTTCGTGACGGGTTTCATTCAGCACTGGCCCAGGGCGCTCTCTTCAGGATGGTCTTGGCTGCCTGATCGGGTCACGGCTCCCCTGGCCTGGCAGGCTCGGGAGTATCATTTTTGGCGTGAAGTGCTATGGCCTCGAAGTAGCAGAGGCCATAATGGGGCCCGGACAGCCATGGGCCGGTTACGTAGGCTCGTCGGTGACAGCGGCTCCGAGGCAGTTCGCTCTTCCGGCTGCGCTGGCGGTTGGTCACCCTGGCACCTTTTGCGCGAAGGTTGGGTGATGAGGGCGTTGGGGAAATTGGAAGTGGCACTGTTTGATTGGGTGGAGCCGCGATGGCGACACGGATGGTGTTGCGGGTGATCTGGTGGAAGGAGCGGTCTACGAAGGGGAGGAAAATTATGCCGTACAAGGCTTCCGTGTCATAATTTTATAGTTTCTATGTGTCGAATACCTTCGTCATCTATTCACGTCACATGATGCTGAATTTAGTATATATCAACTTAGCAAAATGGCCGCGAGCACACTATTAACGCGGTATGCTCCCATGTTCTTACATGACAAGCGTGTCATGATTATCATGTTTGTGCCAGTCCTATACCTTTGTCATCCGTTGACGTCACGTAACACCAAATTTGGTATTTGTAAAGCTAGTGACACGACCGCGAGTGTGTCATGAAGGGCCCCATAAACTGCAACGTAACGTTGACGCGCACGCACGTTGGGCACAGCGACGCTATACGTTTGCAAAACGTGAAAGCTCTATAGTGAGACGATCGGCACGACCAGCGTCTGTCGGCTTAGCGGGACGCCAACCGGCGTGAAGTGCGACATCCTGCATTTCACGCCAATGCTTTACCCAGACAGCACTGCGTCTGCTTCTTTTCACCGGGACACTGAACGCCCTGAAACGCGCATGCGTCAAAGCAACGCAGCGCGACGCGCATCCGCGAGTGAATGGCACGACCGGCGACTGGCGTGACAACGCGGGCGTGACAAGATAAAACGAACGCCAGCACGCACGCGCGCCGTGTCATTTCAGAGTGTATTGGCGCCTTGCTCAATGCATATAGTAGCGTTGTCACATGACACGGATCTCATGATTATCATGTTTGTACCAGTCAAATACCCTTTCCATTCATTGACGTACCGTAATCGCAAGTTTTGTATACGTGACGCTAATTAAACGGTCGCAAACGTATCGTGAGCTTGGCATGTAGCCATGTTGTTGCATGGCACGCATGTCATGTTCATCATGTTTCACGAGTCTCATACGTTCTTCATCTCTTCACGTACGATAATACCAAATTTCGTATGTGACGCTAACGAAATGGCCGTGAGCACATCATGATCGCGGCATGTAGCCATGTTGTTGATTGATTGATTGATTTGTGGGGTTTAACGTCTGAAAACCACCATATGATTATGAGAGACGCCGTAGTGGAGGGCTCCGGAAATTTTGACCACCTGGGGTTCTTTAACGTGCGCCCAAATCTGAGCACACGGGCCTACAACATTTCCGCCTCCATCGGAAATGCAGCCGCCGCAGCCGGGATGTAGCCATGTTGTTACATGACACACATGTCATGATTTTTATGTTAGGGTCTGTTGCTTGTGTTCGCCGTGCAATCATGTCATATCATACCAGTTTTGCAACATGTCATGTGAACGAAACCACCGCAAGAGCAGCAAGACCATGAAGTGCAAGTCATGAAATTCATAGCATGCATTTGATGATTTTCATTTTACGACTTGTCAGATATGCTCGCTACACAATCATGTTGTGCCATACCAAGTTTGGTATTGATACCATTATCCAAAGACACAAGAGAGCTGGAAGTCGTAAGTGGCTAGATAGATAGATACATAGATAGATAGATAGATAGATAGATAGATAGATAGATAGATAGATAGATATAGATAGATAGATATAGACAGACAGACAGACAGGCAGAGATAAATAGATAGATAGATAGATAAATAGATAGGTAAATAGATAGATAGATAGATAGATATATATATAGATAGATAGATAGATAGATAGATAGATAGATAGATAGATAGATAGATAGATAGATAGATAGATAGATACGCTCGAAGTCAGCGAAGTTTGCTAAGAAATGCTTTGCATTTGAAAAAAAAGGACAGGTTAACAATCGCACATGTGTTGGGCGCGAACCCTTGCACCTGGCGGTCGATTATATGAAACGCAGCCACCCGTGGAGAGTTGTCTCCGCCTCTTGCGCAGAAAATAACGCGGTTCTGGGCTCGGCACTTGGTGTCGAGTGTTCTCGTTTGCCACCTGCTCCTTGGAGGGGTAGTGGCTCTAGTCCTCCTGCTCTTCCCGTGACACGTAGCGTTTCATGTCGCATAAATACACCGGTCCGGCGCTTTTTTGCCTTTCATACTCGCGAGCCCATCAACAAGCGAGGAAACGTCCTCTCGCACTTGGTACGACCCGGACCTTTCCGTGCCAGCGAGGCTGCCAACTGTTTGCTAGCATCGCTGAGAACTTGATGGCGCCGCAGGACCAGATCACCTACTTCTTAGTGTATGTTGCAATGCGTACGTTCGTACTGCGTCTTCTGCTGTGCCGTAGCAGTGCCGAGAATATGCCGAGCTTTATGTAAAGCTTCCGTTATACCTTCTCGCGCTGCTGCGTTGCGTGTTCAGCGTGTGCTGATGTCGCCGCTGGCCCTCCAGTGCGATTGGCGTGGACGGTCTCCATTGGTTCACGGTCGATCGCACTGCGAAGCTGATCTCTCGAAAGTAGGTATCCTAATTCCTACGCCTTTCAAAGACGCTGCAAGCATGTGCTTGGTGTTGCGATTGACTTAATCCATTGGGCTCGACTGAGCATGGCAGGTGGTTGTTTATTTGCGTTTAATGCCCAACGCGGTGCACATGGCAACAAACACCGTTGCAGTGAAATAAAACGTGCTATCTGTTATCAACTGCTCAGCGAACCCGAACCTAGTGAAAACCTCCATTAACTTCTCCAAGATCACTCGAGCCGTCAACTTCCTAAAAGGGGAAAGTTATATTTATTTAAGTGAAGCGATGCGGGATCACCAGCAAAAACTTTCTTCTGCTAGGAGCTGTGGGGAATGGGCGCATTACGTCACATTTCGCAATTCGCCAGGGAGTCTGACTGTTATTTTGGCTGCATGAGGGAAGGCGGACGTTCGCCTCACGGCTTCTTGCTTTCGCACACAGGAAATGAACAGGCGTAGTGAATTATTTTCCGCTTTATGCCAAGCAAGGTAGCGAGGTGACACGACTTGGCATATAAGATAAAGACTGGTGCACACCTGCGACTAGCAGCAGTCGCGTGACCATTTGCGACTGGTCGCAAACAGTCGCGAACGGTTGCAAATGGTCGCGAAGCGACTGCTTTAACTAGTCGCTTCCTGACCGATTTTTCAGTCGCGCGACTGCAGTCGCAAAGCTGCTGGAACCAATCAGCGATGCTCAATTTTTGTTCTTTTGCATTTTCATTGCGCTGGCTTCCTGCCACCAGATACAAACGAGTGCGTTCCTCTGGGTCTGTGGCACCATGGCCACCACCAAATACTTGGCTTGGAGATGGCGGGGCGCAGCAGCTCGAGCAAAGTGTCGAATTTTTGTGGTGGTATTCGCAAAAAGGTAATTATCGTCAAAGTAAAGAGAAAATAAATTGTGCACAATCTTTTCCCCATATTCAGAACCGTTTTATTGTATTGAATTTGATTTGTCACCGCCTTCAATGCCGCGTGTTTGGAACTTGTTTGAGCTTCATGCCTTGGCAACGACTTAAGCATCCACGTTCGAGATGCGTTTGTGCTTATTGTAGGCGGTGGCAAGTCAATTTAAGTTCAAAGACCGTTTCTGAATACGTACGACTCTCGGAAATACTCCTCATTGTCTCAGAGCAGCTCGGGAGGCAAGCAACTTGCATGGCCGGCCAACTCCCGCGATCGAAAGGACGGTCACACCCACTACCGGCTTTTTTTTCTTTCGAGGCATATGTGATGCCAGCGCTGACACCATGGCACAGTGCATCAGCATCATGACAATGTCTTGTTCTTCGCTTGAATTGGACTGAGTGAGCGGAGCTGTTTGCTCCGCTCACTCAGCTGGCAGTGCTCAGATCATCGGCACCGGTCTCTAGAGCTCTCACTGATAACGCTATCCGGACGTGACTCTCCGCTGCGACTTCTGGTCGCTCGCTTGCAGCCCCTGCTGGTGTGAACTTCAGTCGCTTTTTGGTCCCCAGTCGCAAATTGTCACGCGACCACTGCTAGTCACCTGTGTGCACTAGCCTTTAGAGCCATGCCAAGAAATGCACGAATCATGAAGGTAGCGTAGAAGTGCTGCTCTCAAAGGACGCGGTATCACGAATTTGAATGACTTAATTATGGCATCGTCGGATTGTATGTACCTCAACAGGACGCCGTCAGAATTGAGCAGATATGAATACACTGCACTCACTGCACTACCATCTGTTGCCGAGCGCTCCGCACCGACAGCAATACGAGCTGCCCAATATCGTGGTGGCCTCACTGCCACCCGGCTCCCAAAGCGCGTCAAACACCTTTCGACAAAATGTATCTTTCTACTGAGCTTCTAACGATTCCCTTCCGTTAAAAACACTCTCTGCACTAACGACAGCCTCTACGTGGTTCCCGATTTTGCCTTAAACTAACGTTTGCTCCGCTGTTTTCGTTACCGCGAGTATCTCACTCTCAAAACCTTGCGGGATAGTCGCGTGACTTGCCTCGAGTCGGACTGGAGCACGCGATAGTGCGTCGGCCGCGGCAATGTTCTTACCCTCGAGGTAGCGAATGGTGAAGTCGTAACGCTGCAGCAGCAAAGCCCAACCAGCCAGGCGGCCACATGGTTCGTTCAAGTGCCTCTACCACATGAGAGCCATGTGCTCAGTCTCAATGACAAACACAAATGCGTCTATGTAAAAGTCAAACTTGCGGAGAGCAAAACGTTTCGCAAGACACATTTTTTCGGTTACCAAGCCCCTCCTCTCTGTCGGCGTTAACGAACGGCTCGCGAACGCAGTCGGTCGAGGGAAGGTTTA